ATATATATATATATATACACAAAGACATATATAGATAGGTGAAAATTCTAACCTTTAACCAAGTTGGGACGTTGCTGCAATAACCAGTTGCCAAAATAACAGAATCAATTTCAAGAATTTGCCCATTAACCAGTTCAACTTTCCCACTCGAAAACTTGTTAATTCCAGGGAGAATCTTGATTTTACCAGATCTAATCTTTTTAAGGGCACCTATATCCAGGACAGGGGTTTTCCCTTGAGTGTTCTTGAGCTGTAAAGGACCTGTGGATGGCCTCTTAAGCCCATACTTTTCAACATTTCCTAGCATTAATCTTGCTGCTGCTAGAAGTGTTTTATCCACAACCCAAATTGGCAACCACTTCATTAGTTTAACTGACAACTCGAATGTTGATTTCCCAAAAATTTCCCTCGGCAATACATGAACCTACACGTTTCAATTTGAAAAAAATTAAAATCTTGTTCACTGTATGTATGTATTCGAGAGAAACGAACAAGAAAAGATTGACTAACCGAGCTGCGAACCACCATTGATGGAAGTGCATTATGGTGGCAAAGATCAAGAGAAACTTCCATTCCTGAATTGCCACAGCCAACAACTAGTACATTCTTTCCTTGATAAGCCTCACCTGTTTTGTAATCACAAGCATGAAAAACACTGCCGCCAAATTCTTGCAACCCTTCGAATTCGGGCACAATCTTTTCGGCATTTTCTCCGGAAGCCACCACGATCCACCTGCAAATGTAATCTATAGTCGAACCATCATTCTTAAGGGTCATAACGCGCCATAAGCCACATGTTTCATCGAATTTAGCAGATTGAACTGACTCATTGAACCTAGGATTGATCTCAAATTTTCTTGCATAGGATTCGAGGTAGTCGATGAATTGGTGTTTTGTGGGGTATTCTGGGAAGTTTTCTGGGAATGGATGGAATGGTAATTCACAGAATTGTTTCGGAAGATGAAGTTTAAGGCGATCATAGGTCCGGTTTTGCCATAAAGAGCCAATGCAGCTGGCTCTTTCAAGAATCACAAATGGAACCCCCTGTTGTTTAAGGCCAGCACCAACTGATAAGCCCGATGGACCTGCCCCAACAATTACAGGGCCATTTACCAGTATGCATCGTCCGGAAAATAAATCATCAAAAGTAGGATCCATTGATGGTGGCATACAATGATTCATCAAGAGTCTATATAAAAGTGGAAAATTGGGAATCTTTCAAAATGTTTCCAAGGAATTTATGTATTTTGAATGAGAATAGGACAGTGGATAGTGAAATAGAGAGAGGGGAGAGAGAACATAAACTCCAGTTTGAAGAAATGTGTAGAGGCGATTAAGGGTTTATATAGAGGAGGTGGCGTTGAGGGTAGCTTATAATTAGGACTTGAAAAAAGGATGATTTGATTGTCCTTTCAGACAATTGAGACCTGTAAGGTCTAAAACTGCTGCCATAAAGACACTTGAAATTTGTCACTCTTTAGCCCTCAAAATAGAAAAACTCGAAAAACTTAAAGCGAGCAAAAAATAGTGACAATTGCAGAGACGCGCGACAAAGAATAATATGCGAGTATGGGTAGGTAAGTGCAACAATTTAGAGTATTCGACTAATCCTTGAATACAAAGTGCTTAGACCAACCAAGCATGGGGTTAGCGTAGTAGGTAGCTCAGTACTATGAAAAGGTCTTGTATGCTCTTGATCTTATTGGTACTTTGCAGTGAGATTCGAGTGGTGGTCCATGTATTGGTGTAATACAGTCCAAGGTCGTATTTTTGAAGAGGTTAACAACATGGGATCTTTGAAATATCTAGAAAGCAGTGTTAAGATTTGAGATTCCATCTTAAAATATTAACTTTGTTAAGAGAAGTAGCCCAAACCCTTATAAGTTAGTCAATATTTTTCATCATTATTAATGTGAAATTTTATCCCTCAACGAACTCTCCGCAAGATGGTGGCTCATTTGAGCAAACTAATCTTGAAAGTTGCATGTTATTTTTGAGTATTAATCAAATCAAATTACTTGTTGGAGTTTAAATGACTCTGATACCATGTTAAGTGTAGAAATTTATGGGTCTAACTCATCTCACAAAACCGGTTCAGCAAGAGAGGTTTGCCACATTGTTTATAAAGAAAATTACCTAAAAACCNTGGAGAAAATTACCTACAAACCTACTTTTAAAATTTCATTTTCAAAAAACAGGTGAATTGATTTTTATTTCACAAATCAGGTGGTAATTATATTTTAATAATTACAATTAATAAAAATTTAATTGCAATATATCATTTCTCCCAACCCACTTCTCTCTCTCTCTCTCTCTCCAGAAGCTTCCCAGCAGCCCGTCGCCTCTCTCTCTCTCTCTAATTCCCCAACCCATCGCCTCCCCTACCAGCCCGTCGCCGTTTTCAGAATCACCGGCGAATCAACTACTACCTATCCATTGCACAGCTCTGCCGCTTCGTCTCCCAACCCCATCACCCTAACTGTCGGTGTGGTACTGTTCGGAGATGGCGGCGTTGTGAACGGTGCCGGTGGTTGTTGCTACAGGTGGTCGATGCGCTCCACTACCCACCGGCAACCGTGAGAGTCGTCTGCAGCCACGAAGTGAATGTTGTCGTCGGTGCGATCTGAGCGTCCATGTTCTTTTTAACGTCGTTGCTGCAGCTACGCGTCATCACCTCTGTGGGTGGTTTGCTGGTGGTTGGTGGTGTCGATTGCAATGGTTTTTGGGCGGTGGTGGAAAATGATGACCGAGGTTCACAGGGCCAGTACCCAATCTGAGGTTCACAGTAAATGATGACCGTTCGGTGACTGAGGAATTGTTGTCTGCCAATTTCTTAATCCCTCCGGATGAGAATATGTATAGTGGGAAATCTATTGCCGAGCTCTGTTGTGATTCCTTGAAAGATTTCAATCCTATGGTTCGTGTTTCGGTTCAAAAAGGTTGTCTCCTTAATGTCGTTTGTTCTGCAGTGTCTTATGTGATTCGTTTTTATCTATTCTTTGTTTTCTAACTAATTAGCCCTTTGAATATCAAAGTTAGGCAACTAATTTTGAGTTCTTTAACACTCAAATTTCGCAGGTGATTTGTTAAACTTCGATGTGGATTTCTTTGACAAGTTTGATGTTGTAGTTGTCAGTTCTTGCTCACTTTCAACAAAAGTATGGAGTTGATCTCT